TCTGCCCCCCGGCACTGCCCCCCGACCCCGACCCCGCACCTGCTGCAGGCCCTCCTGCAGCTCCTGCAGCGATGCCGCCAGCCGCTGGTTCTCCGCGCGCAGCTCGGAAACCAGGTCCGCGCTGTCAGGCTCCTTCTCCTTCTCCTCGGCCCCAGGGAGTGGCCCCCTGGCCCTGCGCAGCAGTGTGCACTCTTCTTCCAGCCGGCTCACCTTGAGCTTCAGCTGGTCCACCTGGGGCCCAGGACAGGGGTCAGCTTGGGGAGGGAGAACCAGCCAGGCCAGAGAGGAGAGGCCCTGTCCCACACTCCTGGGTGCCTCCCCGATTCCCGGAGGGGCCCAAGCAGGTGGCCTCCCCAGACGCGTCTAGGAAGAAGGGACAGGCTGGACAAATACAATAAGGAAGGAAGGGAGGCAGCAAGGCCAAGCCACCCTCCCAAGGGAATCTGCCTCAAGGACCTGTGGGTGGAGGGGCCATATATAACACGCTCTTCTGTCCCACACTTCTGACACTGAGCACAGGACCAGCATAATGGAGGGGAAGGAGGGCTGCACCAAGAACAGGAGGACCCAGGGGCTGGGCCCAGCTCGGCCTCTAACTCAGTGTGGCCTTGGGCAAGTCACAGCCCCTCTCTGTGCCTCAATCTCCTCATCTCCTTGTGGGGGGAAAAAGGAGGAGGAGGATTCTGAGGGTTTCACCCAGCCTAGGGGCCAGGATGTCCCCCTCTCACCCAGTCTCCCCACTCAACATACACTCACAGAACACATGTGAGTCTCATCCTCCCTTAAAGATATTCCTACCAGAGCCTCCACTTGGGAAGATTATGAGGTTGGTTCACCCCAACATGAATTCCAAGTCCGGGATCCATATTTCAGTTGTACCTTTTTACCGTCTGTCATCCTGAGCAAGTCACTTACCTCCTCTGAGCCTCAGTTTCCCCATCAGTAAAATGGGCCCATTCAATCCCCCTGCTCCACCACCTGCCTCCCAAAGTCATTGCAGGAATCAAACAAGACAGCAGGTGGACGGAGGCCTTTAAACTATGGAGCTGCTGAGGGTGTGACAGCGGCTATCTTTACAACTTTAAATAAAATCCTAGGACCCCAACTGTCACCGGTTCAGTGTGGGCAGCCAGAAACTGGCCAAGGGTGCTGGGCGGGCGGCTGGGTGGTGGCCGCCTGACAGACAGCAGATATGCACGGCCAGTCTGCTGGATTATGAATGCACTCAGCCAGAGTGATTTTCCAAATTCATGCGGGGTCTGGTGTCCAGCAGGTCCAGGTGGCTAGACCTGTGGTGGCTAGACAGTGACAAGAGGAGAAGCAGGTGGCAGGCCACAAAATGAAGTCACTGTTGGAAAAAGGGCACAATGACCTCTGGGGCTATACTCAGGCATGCCGACATCTGGTGCCCTAGGAGTGCCCTGGCCTCGCTTGGAAAGGACTTGCAGCCCCACACCCCCAGAGCCTGGCATGGCACCCCACTCCACCCCCCCGCCACGACACACACACGCAAGGGTCTGGAGGCTGGGTCAGGCCGTTCCACGAATTAACACCCCCCACTCCTCCTCCGCAGAGGACTCAGAAAGAAATTCATGACTCTCACATTCCTTTCCCCTCACAAAACACGCTTTGTGAACTGCCAGAGAAAGACAGCTAGCTACAAGGGCAAATGTGGTCACACCCTCTCCAGCAAACCGCAGCCACACACCATGGCCTCCCGCCCAATCCACGGCCAGCAGGCTCCCCCGATGAGCTCAGGGGACGGGGCACCTGGGAGTCTCCGCTGAACCCCAAGAAATACAGATGCATTTAATCCTGGTGTACAAACTCACTTAAGCACAAAATTATAGCGTTCGTTCCTTTAAGTTTATGTTGCTTAGAAATAACAGCTCATTACATTTGCACCTTATAAAACACAGTATTAAATCACAGCCACTACACACCTGTCCACAGGGGGAGGGAACCCAAGCTGCCGAGAAAAGCACCATCAGCTGCTCTGTTCATTTCCATCGGCAAAGCCTTTGTTAATTTGTTGCCAAAAAGCTCCAGTAAGTTAAGGCAAATGTAGGGTAGCTACATTTAAAGAAAAGCTTATCTATTAATTGAATTTCATCCCTTACCCTCCATTGCTAAACTGGGAAAAAGCAGCTATTATCTGCCTACTGGCAGATCTCCATACTGTGTGCACCTGCGGCTGAACCGCAGACACACAGAGAACCTCCGACACCTCTTCGGTGTCCCTACCCAACCCCAGGAGACTCCAGACAGCTGCACACACACACAGGGCATCCCCCACCCCAGTCACATGCACATATCTGCCACCTAAGGGGACCAAACTCAATCACATGCAGCCCAAAGGTGAGACCAACCGTGCAGGCCACAGCCCCTCCCAACACCCAGGGGGGCCGGTGGCCATCGTGCTGTCCTCTCTGAGCAGGCTCTCCCCACCGGCCCCCACCCCATCCCACCCCACCCCACTCCCAGCAGTGCCCAGAGCAAAGTCAGAAATGCTCAGTCTTCAAACCCTGGGAGAGTACTCCAACCAACCTCTCTGTGCCTCAGTTTCCTCATCCATAAATGGGGATAATAACAGAGTTCCCCCCCAACCCCCATTCCAATGGAGCTGCTGGGAAATTAAAGGAGTTGATGGACGGCAAGCCCAGAGAACCATGCCTGCTGCACAGGAGGTGCTGTCTTGCTGTGATGTCATCTGCATCCATGACCTTGCACTTCAAGGATGAGGAAGCTGAGGCTAAAGTAGGCCTGGCAGCCTGGGCCCGTCAACCTGTGGCCTCAATACCCCCAATCAGGACTCATTTCCCCAGACATCAAATCCCCAGCACGCACAGCCGCAGGCTCCAGCGCACCAGTGCACCCACACTGACAGCCTCACACGTGCCACCCAGTATCCACAGGCACCTGTCACCCCCTGGGGTGCTCCAGCCACAGCTGAGCCTCATGGGGTCAGGGGGCTTCAAATCCCACAGTCAGAATCCCCCCTGTGGAACCTCTCTGGGTATGACTGGGGAGAGCCTACTGTGCGCCGCGGGCATTGTCAAATCCTTGGGACAACTCTCTGCAGCAATAAAATCCCATGCGAAGCCCCAGTAAGGAGCCAAGAAAGAGAGGCTCAGTTTCTCAGCCTGTAAGAGGCATGGCCTCACTGGTTGATGGAAGAGAATTGGGTGAGATTTCACCTGGACAGGAGCAAACAGAACAGCACCATGGGGCAGAGGCCAGCGCTGGAGCCAGGTGGACCTGGTTCAAACCCAGGCTGTGCCATTTCCCAATCTGCAGCCTTGAGCAAATCCCTTTACAATCCTAAACCTGTATCTGTATTTCAAAATGAGAACCTGGTGCATGGTGCCTTAGTGAGATTACATGACAGGATGCACGTAACCTGTGTGGCATCGAGTAGCACTTAATAATGATATCAATAACAACGGCCAAGGATAATCCAGGTTTTGAGCACTAACTCTGTACCAGGAACTGTACATGTCTTAAATCCTGTGACTTAAACTCAAGGAATCCTCGTAATCCAAGGTTGCTCTGGCTCAGCACTTGCTGACATTTTGGGCTGGACAATTCTTGGTTGTGGAGGGCTGTCCTGTGCAATTAGGATGTTTAGCAGCATCCTGGGCCTCTACCTACTAGATGTCAACAGCACACTCCTGGTTGTGACAACCAAAAATGTTTCCAGACATGGCCAAATGTTTTTTTTTTTTTTTTTTTTTTTTGCGGGGGGGCGAGGCAAAATCACTCCCAGTTGAAACCACAGTCATAATTCAATGAAATAAATGCTCCCATAATAAATCAACACTCCCATGTTACAGATGAGAAAACTGAGGCACAGGGCAGGGAAGGGACTTGCCCACAGTCCAATATGCGACAGATGGTGGCTTTGGGACACCGGTTGTCTACCATATGACCGTCATTTTTTGCAAACCTGCCCCTTTCCCACGGCACCCCCCATCTCCCCAGGGCCTACCGCCAGCTGCAAGTCCCGGCTGCGCAGCACGGCCGAGTTCTTCTCCTCACTGAGCTGTGCCAGGCGCATGGCAATCATGTAGTTCTCGTCCTTAAGACGCAGCAGCTCCAGGCTCCCCGCCTCCCAGTCCTCCCGCAGCCGCTGGCAGCGCTCCTGAGCCTGCTGTTGCTCCCGCAGCCGCTGCTCCAGCCCTGCCCGTTCTTCCTCCAGCACCCGGCCCCGGGCCTGCAGCTGCTGCTCCCGCTGCAGCTGGCTCTTGCGAGCCTCCCTCAGCCGCCGCACCTCTGTCATCAGGAATTGGGTCAGGCCCTCGGGGCCCTCCTCATCTGCCAGGGGCAGGGGAGAGAAAAGACACAAAATAAAATCCAAGGGGATTTTATAAAATTGAAAAGTCAATAAATAAAATCCAAGGGGATGACAGACTGCACAGAAAAACCCGAACCAGAAGAACTCTAGAAAGAAATATTGGAACCAATTTTTACAATTTGGGGACAGGAACAGCCTTCCTAAACAAGGCACAAAATCAAAGAGCTATAAGAGATTTCTAAACGATGACAGATATAAGAAACAAAGTTAAAAGACAAGCAACAGAGTGGGAGAAAATATAACAAATATAACAAATGACTCAGAACCACAACATATAAAAAGCTCCTACAAATCAATAAGCAAACAACCAAATAAAAATGTGGGCAAAAACTATCAATAGGCAAATCCCAAAACAAAAATGGCTGGTAAACATAGGAAAATACGTTCCAACTCACTAGCAATAATAATAATAATAACAATAATAGTAGTACCACTAACAATTGACTTTATTCTTTGGCCTACATACATATATTAAAAACCACACTTAGGATAGGTATTATTTATTGTACGCATTTTAAAGCCAGAAAAACCGAGGCACAGAAATGTCAAGCCATTTGCCCAAGGTTGACTAACTAGTAAGCTGTGAACATCTCTCAACAAAGTACAAACTTAAAACAACAATATTATTTTTCACATATCTGACTGCATAAAATGTTTTTAAATGATCCCCAGGATGAATGAGGGTACAGCAAAATGGGCACTCATACACTGCTGGGGGATGTATGCTGATTTAACTTTTTTTTTTTTTTTTTTCTTGCGTTATGCGGGCCTCTCACTGTCGTGGCCTCTCCCATTTGCGGAGCACAGGCTCCGGACGCGCAGGCTCAGCGGCCATGGCTCACGGGCCCAGCCGCTCCGCGGCATGTGGGATCTTCCCGAAACGGGGCACGAACCCGCGTCTCCTGCATCGGCAGGCGGACTCTCAAGCACTGCGCCACCAGGGAAGCCCTGATTTAACTTTTAAAATACATATTCTCTAAGAAATCTGACTTCTCAGAACCTCTCCTCCTGAGACACACATTTGCACAAAGATGCACCTAGAAGGATGTTCCCAGCATTGTTTGTAATGGTGCAAACTGGAAACAACCTAGATGTCCATCAACAGAGGATGGGTTAAATGACTGGCACGTCACTAATAAACACTACACAGTCATTTAAAACAAGTGTAACTGATGTGGAAGAAACACAAAAATCAGTTGTTCTGAGAAAAAGTGAAACACAGAGCAAGACACGTAAGATGATTCCCTGTGTGTGTGTCTGTGTGTATAACTGCAAAGAGAAAGGAAACTCGCCAAACTGATACCAGCAAAGCAGAGCTGAAGGAAGAAGTAAAGATCTTTCCTATTTACTTTCAAGTCTCCTGGAGTGTTTGAATTTTTTACAGAAGAAACTGTAAACTGGTACATGCCTGACACATCTTTGGGGGAAAGAGCTGCATTAAGTGTGTGGGCTCTGAGCTTAGACTATAACTGCATTAGAATCGCAGCCCCACACTCAGCCTGCTGGGGGGACCGTGGGCAAACCGGTACAGTTCTCTCTGTGCCTCAGTTTCCCTATGTGTTCAACAGCGACAATGGGAGTGCCTCCCTGACAGGGATGGGGTAAGGAACCTCTGCACTGGTGTCCGAGGCGCTGGCACCCATTGCGGACCCACTCACCGAGGATCATGGAGCAGCGCTGGGCAGGTTCTTGGCCCGTGAGCAGCGTGAAGTGCTCGGGGTAGTAGAACTCCAGGGCTTCCAGGAAGGCCTCGTAGCCCCTCTTCCCGCGGCAGCGCAAGATGTCCATCAGGCGCCCTGGGAAGTGGGACGGGGGCGGTGCCCAAGGGTCAAGGTGAGGGCTTCTCCCCGTGCCTAGTTGCTTTCTCCCCCCTTCCCCACACCCCGCCATACTCCAGGGCCCACGTTCCCCGGATTTCTGAACCGGTGACACACACAGGGGCCTGACTCAACACATCAGCGGGGAGAGCCCGTCTGCCACGGCCAGGAAAGCCGGGACCCACCCACTCCATGGCACCCCAAGCCGCTGCCTGCGGCCCCCACAGATATAGGGCCAGCAAATGCAGCCTGCCTTTTCAGTGGCACAGGGAAGCCCCCTCCATCCCCAAACGCAAAGAAAAATATTTCTCTCATTGACCAACGCCTGAAATTCCATTAGACCCTCATCCCTTTGCCAGCTCTGTTCAAAGGCACAACTTATGGGAGAAGGCACCCTCAGAAAGCTGAGATGGGTCTTGAGCACTTGAGAAAAACGCTCCCAGGAGTGTGTAGCACACAGAAGTGGGGGGCGGGGGGGGGTAGCAGAGAGAACCGAAGAGATCAAAGGACACAGGAAAGCTGCCAAATCCACCAGCTGTGATCGGGAGGTCCCAAGCCCAGCCTGCACCGGCAACTACAGCCAACCCCTTGCTCTAAGGGGGGCCCAGGAAATGGGAGAAAAATCCAGACGCGGTCTAGGCACCGTGGACACGCTGGGTCACGCTGTGGTTCAGGAGGAGGGAGGGTGGTGGGCACACCAACCATCCCACTCTACCGATGTGGAGACCGAAGCCCCGGGGATCGGCGCCCTTGGCCCGACGGTCCCGAAGAAGGCCCCAGGGAAGGCCGGCACCGCCCGCTCAGGCCCGACCCCGCGCCCCCCACGGCTCACCGGTGCGGTTGACGCGGCACGGGAAGCGGTAGGTGCTCAGCACCTCCTCCTCGTCCTGCTCGTCGATGACCCGGCATTGGCGCAGATACGGTGTGAGCTTGGCCGGGTTGAGGGCGCGCGTCAGCCGGTGCCGGACGCCCTCGATCCGCTCCCACAGCGCGTCCTCCTCCGCCTCGGACCCGGAGCCGGCCCCAGCCTCCTCCTCGGCCTCCCCTGCCTCGGCCCCGCCCGGCATGACCGCGTCTTCGGGGTCTGCGGGCCAGAGGCGAGCGGGGGTCGGCGGGGTGCGCCGGCCGATCCCAGCACTGGGCGTCGCCCGCAGGACCAGCCGCCGTCGCCGCCGGAACCCCCCCCTCCCGCCCCCGGTCCGCCCGGCGGGTGCCCGGCCCCCGCGTCCCCGGGACTCACCCCGCACGCCGGAGCCGTCTCGGACTCCCGGGTCAGCGCTCTGGCGGCGGCTCCGCCGGCTCAGGGGGGCGGGGTCAGCGGCGCCCCTGGCCCTGGCCCCGCCCCCGGCTCCGGCCCGGCCGCCGCCCGGGCTGCCCCGGCCTCCCCACATCGCCGCCCCGGCCCGGGCCGAGGAGCGTCCGGCCGGCCAACCACCCGCACGTCCGCCAGCACGCCCGGCTCCCCGCCGTCCGGCCGCCGCGCGCCTCCCCCCCGCTTCCTGTTTCCCGCCGGCTCTCCCGGCCCTGGCTCGGCGGGGTCCCGATGGCCCGCCCACACCTGCCTGGCCTCGGGGCCTGGCGGCGCGGGCGGGACATGCAAGCTCTCACCCTCTCGCGTGCGCGCGGGGCACGCGGCGTCGGCCCCCACGGCGCGCCCCCCGCGCCCTGCCCGCGGCTCCCACCTGGCACCTGGCGCCCACGTCGACACACAGCCTGCACGGTGGCCAAACGGCGCACACATCACATCAGCAAGAGGCACACCGGTCACACCGGCACACGACGTCACACCAGCGCAGTGTACTCAGGACTCAAAGGTCCCAGAACCCACGTGTCACACCAACCCTGTGCAGATGCCACACACCCGGTCACAATCTTATCTCCTCCGTCTCTAAGGAAATGACCATGCAGTGTGGGGCAGGGATCCCATGTTTCTGAGAACTCCCCCAGATCTCTCCCCAAGAGCTGTCCCAGGGTCAGAGCACTTCTATGGCCCAGCTCAGCTGAGGGCCTACTGGGGCCCGTCGTGTGAGAGCACTGCCTGGGAGCAGGAGATCCTATCCCAGCCAGGCCTCTGACCTGCTCCTGACCCAGGCAAGTGCTTGCCCTCCCAGGCCTCAATGTCCCCAAGTAGACTGCCAGCTCTGGCACCTTCCCTCAAACTAAAACGCAGCCCCTGGGTGGGCTGCAAAAGACAGAAGTATGGCTGCGTTCTCAGAGATGGGAGTCTGAACTCTCAGGGCACCACTGCCAGATCCCCTTCTACCTAAAGTCTCATGGCAGAACACGAAGACCAGGGATCCATTCCCCCAAAAGAGTGTTCCGCCAGATGCTAGACCCAGAAATGCTTGGGAGAGGTTCTGTGGTCAAGTCAAGAAAGTTTGAGAAACGCTGCCTCCATATTGCCCCCTGCCACCTTGGGAAACTCGTAGTCACTTATCATGGTAAAGTGTGCACCCATATCTGCTGGCACCGCGATAGCATCTCTCCATGGGTTAGAAACTGCCAGTGGAAACTGACAGTGAAGAGCGGAAGGGCAGGAAAGAGTTCTAAGCTCCCCAAACTCCTTCCATACCATCTGACTTAAATGCCATGTACATTTGTGTTATTTATCCAAAGAAATAAAAGTTTTCAACAAATGAAGGCCCTGAAAAGCCCTGCAATAAAGAAACTGGTTTAACTTTATAAATCCTAGTGTTCTTTCCCAAACTTAATTAACCATTTTTTGTTTTGTTTTGGAGATCACCAGTTTACATGAGGGGAAATGCTTTGGAAATACTGGATTCTAGTGCAAATTCCTCAGTTCACAGAGGAGGAAGCAGATGCCCAGTAGGGCAAGGAACTTGCCCAAATTCACACAGCGAGGAAGAAATGGGACCAGGCCAGAGCCCAGCCCCTGGCCCCTCTGTCTCCTCAGCCAGGCTCTGAGCCCAGGCACACACCAGTGTGCCCAGTGGCCCAGGTAGCCTCGGCTTCCTGTAATCCTCCCACCAGCAGCCCTGTTCATTGTCAATATTTTTAACTTGGCCAGGATAATGGGATGAAAGTCTTTGAAAATCTTTCTGTGGTTAATTATTTCCTCATCAAGAAGCCTAAGCAGGGCCTGGAGATAAGGCACAGAAACCAAGGGGCCTGCAGGTAAGTAGACAGAGAAGTGATGGGACACTAAGCTGAGCAGGGGGTCGCTGGATGCCCAGGAGTCCTGGAGAACCTGCAATTCCCATGGGCACCATGCTCACATATTCATGTGCAGTTATACACACTCACAGACACACTGACACACACTCACCCACAGAGGGCATCCAGCCAGGTGGGAGACAAGGGGGCACACACCTGCCCTCCCCACAAGGCAGAGCTTCCTTGAGTGTCCACAGCACCGAGGGTGGAAGAGTGCAATTAAACATTGCCTCCTCAGGATTTCCCTGGTGGTGCAGTGGTTAAGACTCCACGCTCCCAATGGTGGCAGGGGGGTGGGGAGGGCCGGGTTTGATCCCTGGTCAGGGAACTAGATCCCACGTGCGTGCCGCAACCAAGAAGCACACATACCACAGCTAAGGAGCCAGCGAGCCACTACTAAGGAGCCCACCTGCTGCAACTAAGACCCGAAGCAACCAAATAAATAAATTAAATTAATATTTTTTTAAAAATCACCTTATGTCCTCTTGTGGATTCTGCTACATTCATCTCTCTACAGCCACACCAGGAAGGCAGGAACTGAGGCAGGGAGACAGAGGGTCTAGACCTCGCATCAGGGGCCCTGGGTCTTAACCCCAGCTGACTGCCACGAATGCTGTTCTGAGCCTCAATTTCCTTGTCTGAAAAGGCAGGTGATGAGTAATTCCAGCCACACCTAGAGAGGAAGACTGCCTAGGAGCAGAGAAAGTGCCCTAGGGACTTTAGGGCACATTTGACCTTAGTTATGTCTCCTTGGACAAATTCCTTCCCTTCCCAATTTCTACATCTGTAAAATGAACATAATGGTCACCCTATGCAGGGACTGCCTCTGAGCTACAGTTCCTTTATTTGTGAAATGGGCACTGGGCAGTCAGTCCTCTTCCTGCTTCAGAGCAAAGCATGCCCCCATATCGCAAACCAATCCATGTCCCACCACCTCTGACCCTGCTGGTCCAAGCCACTAACCTACCCACCCACAGGGCACTGGACTACAGTGCACTCTGCAGCCAGAGGGATGACTTTAAAAACAGTTAATACTCTCCAGAGGTTTCCCACCAAACGGGAATATAAAGCAAGTTGCCCCCCAGACCCTGCCAGCTGCCCCGCCCCATCTCCTCCCACTGCCCCCCTCACTCACCAGTCTCATTCTGTTCCTGGAATCTCACCTCAGTGCTTTCATTCAGCCTGTTCCTTCTGCCTGAAACACTTGTCCCTCAGCTCCTGGCATGGAGGGCTCCTTCTAGCTATTCAAGTCTCAGATCAAAAGTCACCTCCCTTGGGACTTCCCTGGCAGTCTAGTGGTTAGGACTTCGCCTTCCGGTGCAGGGGCTGCGGGTTCAGTCTCTGGTTGGGGAGCTGGGATCCCACATGCCTCGTGGCCAAAAAACCGAGACATGAAACAGAAGCAATATTGTAACAAATTCAATAAAAACTTTTAAATTGGTCCACATCAAAAAAAAAATCTTAAAAAAAAACTGGGCTTCACTGGTGGCGCAGTGGTTAAGAATCCACCTGCCAATGCAAGGGACACGGGTTGGAGCTCTGGTCCAGGAAGATCCCACATGCTGCGGAGCAACTAAGCCCGTGCGCCACCACTACTGAGCCTGCACTCTAGAACCCACGAGCCACAACTACTGAAACCCTCACGCTCTAGGGCCCGTGTGCCGCAACTACTGAGCCCGCGTGCTGCAACTACTGAAGCCCGCATGCCTAGAGCCCGTGCTCAGCAACAAAGAGAAGCCACAGCAATGAGAAGCCCGCACACCACAACGAAGAGTAGCCTCCGCTCACCGCAACTAGAGAAAGCCTGTGCGCAGCAACGAAGACCCAACGCAGCTAAAAATAAATTAATTAATTAATAAAATTTAGTTTTAAAAAAAGTCACCTCCCTTGGGACAGGAGCATCCACACAGGCAGAGCTCCCCCTGCACGGTTCCCATGCATGCCCTCAAGCCACTCTGTGCTGTTTTCTCCACTGCATGTTTTCTCCATCAGACACTTCCCCATTCTTCGATTACTTTACCTGTTTATTGCCTGCTTCTGCTCCAAGAACAGAAATGTCTTGGTCAACAGGAGTGGGCCGGAATGTTCCAAGAACAGTGAGGATGAGGTGTGGAGTCGGACAGGAGAGGAGATTGGAGAAGGCAGGAGGATAGGGGAAAGGATACAGAGCAGAAGGCCATACAGGTTATTGTCAAGACTTTGGCTTTCCCTTTTATCAGTAGTAATACTGGGGGCCCTTGAACAACACAGGTTTGAACGGCACAGGTCCACTTATTGCAGATTTTTTTCAGTAAATATGTACTACGGTATCATCCCTGGTTGGTTGAATCCAAGGATGCGAAACCTGGGATACGGAGGGCCAGCTGCAAAGTTATAAGAGGATTTTCAACCACATGGGGGTTGGCGCCCCTAACCCCCATGTTGTTCAAGGATCAACTGTACCAGATTATTATTGTCTCCTGCAAACCAGCCTCAAGGCCCACAGAGGCGGGCATCTACTTTTTCGTTCACCCCTTCAGGGAGGCCCCCAACACTGGCACCTTCTCTCTTCCTCTTAGGCGGCCTCTGATGGCATCCCAGGAATCAGAGCCTTGATTTCTCTCTCCTCTAGACTGGAAATGTGGGTGCATGGTGGATCTGGGCTCCCCGACCCCAGCCCCCAGGCTGATCTCACCTTGTCTGGCCATCTCTTCACCAAAAGCAGGGCCTGGGTCCCATAGGTGCATACGTGACGGCACCCAGCATGGGACCTGGCACACAGTACATGTTCAGTAAGAGACTGGTGAATGGACCTGGCACTGGGGAGAATTCCTTTTGATGGGATGCACGACACCAGAACCAGACCGCCCCAGGGTTCAAATCCCAGTATAACACTTGCTTGTGACCCTGGGCAAGTCAC